GTTCAGAACATTTCAAGTGCAAGGGGGACCATTGTCCACCTCTCAGCCCTAACCTTTGGTTTTGCAAAATCTTTTATTATTTACTGTGTGTGGCTTTGTGGGGAAAAAATTAAAGGTCTGTAGTTATCTTCAAATTTTACCAATGAGTTTATGCCATCCTCAGTGAGACCAGCCCAGAGACGGAGAATGGAATCTAAGGGCTCTATTTTCATATTTCATTTCAATGCTTCCTCCAGTCTCTCATCCCACTCACTAGAAAGAGGGCTGTCATCATTATAGTCTGTTTTCCACACACTATTAAATTACCAATAAAAATAGATAGAACCACTTCTAGGGTAAAGAATTTTGTCTGGCATTCCAGTGTCTACCCTTCATGGCCAGCCTATTTGTCAACTTGAGGCTCACATAATACCAAAGCCATGAATTCCTATTCCAGGAACCAAGGAGGGTCTGGTTATATGGATCCTACTTGGCCCTCAAACTAATACCTTCTCTTTCCAGTTACCTTCTTACTTTGGAACAGCCTCCTAGGTTAACTGTTGTCAATCGGATGCTTTGTCTCTATATAGTTCTTTACTCATAAAGCCAAGATGTATTGAGCATAAACATGCCAAACACTGTTCCTGGTGCCGAGTCTACAACTATAAACAAGACAAAGCCCCTTAAGGAAACTATCATGGGGGAGGGGAGACATAATACATATGAAAACAGTAAGAATTTAAATAGTGGTAGTAAGTGTTATGGAGAAAATATATCAAGGGTGTGATAACATGCAGTATTATAAGCTTCTTTTATATGACTTTAGAGGACTTGAGAGCTACAGACATTTTAGATATTTCTAAAGAGGCAGATAAATGTTTTGAGCTGCTCTTTAGCTACAAGTATTAAGGGAATAATACTGAGCTGTCCAGCGGCTGAAAGACTCAGCCAACCTGTAGCTATTTGAGGAAGCAAACCCTGGGACTCTCCTATAAGAGGAGCAGATCCTGGAGTCTCCGTGGCTGGGAAGTGCTGACTAAAAGCTGTTATTGAATGGCAGCCAACAACCATGGGTTTTCTTAGGAGTCGGCCAAGATCAGTTGGAGGATGTTAGCTCACACGAACAATCAAAAGCCCTAGGATTTATGAGTCTGTTGATCTCAGGTCAATTCCTTAATATTTAAGCTCCCTTGGGAAAGGAGGTCTAAGGTACTAAATTTCGAAGAGGAGATAGATTACTAGCATCAACCAGGAGAAAGACATACAGATTCTGACCAGGATCCTGGGCCAATTTTTAGATTATAAACAGATTGATAACTGAAAGGATGTGACCAAGGGAAATAGAAGATACAGGCATACCTGGGAGATACTGTGGGTTTGGTTCTAGACACTGCAATAAAGCAAGTATCGCAATAAAATGAGTCGTAATTTTTTTGCTGGTGGAGGGTCTTGCCTTCACTTTGTAAAAAATGCAACACCTGTAAAGCGCAATAAAGTGAAGTTCAATAAAAAGAGGCATGCCTATACTTGCATTCTTGTATCTGCTTCAGCTTTATGTTGCTTTGTGGAAAAGGGAGGACCTCCTGAAGCCCCTGAAAGCCTCAGAAGTCCTCAGATCACACAGTCATGGGATTAGCAGTACATTACAGTGGGGAGGGGGACATTTTTTTTCCAATGAAAGAATGGACAGCATTTTGAAAGATAAGGAGTGAGTCATGGCATGCTGGAAATTACAGTATTCTCATACAGTGCTTCTCAAAGTTTAATGTGTATACAAATCACCTGGGATCCTTGTTAAAATTCATATTCTGACTCAGAAGTTTTGGGGTAAGGCTCTAGAACAGTGGTTCTCAACCTGTGGGTCACGACCCCTTTGGGGGGTCAAATGACCCTTTCACAGGGGTCGCCTAAGACATAACAGTAGCAAAATCACAGTTATGAAGTAGCAACGAAAATAATTGTATGGTTGGGGGTCACCACAACATGAGGAACTGTATTGGAGGTTTGCGGCATTAGGAAGGTTGAGAACCACTGCTCTAGAACCTATAGTTCTGACGTGCTCTCAAGTTATGCCAATGGTTTTGGTCCATGGACCTCACTTTAAGTAGTAATGCTTTGGTATATTGTACTATACACAACACCAGAAAGCCTATAAATGCATGCACAAGTGAGCTTTTGTGTGTTGGGGAGAAGGGTTAAAATAGGGATAGGCAGAGGGAAGAGGAGCCTAATAAACTCGTGATCTTTTTTAAAAAGAAAAGCTATAAAAAGATATTTTCTTATAAGTCCTGTAAGTTTTGGCCACCACTTAACTATCTTTACATCAAAGCAAGTTAAGGCATGATTATCCATACCTGTTAAGGCAGTTGGATTATCCATCACAATAAAACCCACACTCTAATATCTGCCAATTTACATAGTTTGGCCCCAGTCTACCTTTGCAGCCTTATCTCCCACTACCTCCCTCCCATACCCAGGCAGCTGTTTCTCACATACCTTTCTAGATGCTATCCACTAGCCAAGATGCCCGCTTCTTCTGGCCTGTCTTCACTCTACCAGTTCCTTAAGATTTATCTTAAGTTGTAGACAAATAACATTTCTTCATGTGATTGCATCATTGGAAATTCTTTCTACCCCCCTCTGAACATCTTAGTACTTACTGCCACTCTTCTGGAACTCACCATTCTGAGTTTTAGTTATTTCCCTACATATTTGCTGTTTGTAGCTAGATGACAAGTTTCTCTTTAGTTCAAACATACATTTCATACTCAAACCTACATTTTGAGTTAATCCCAAAGGCATTAAAAACATCACATTTATGCAACTTGGAAAGGTAACAACTTAATACCAAATAAAAAGTATGCCTGGAAAACTGAAATGCTTTGGGGAATATTCTGAATACATATCATCGAATTGGCACTGACCCCTCTCAGGTGCTGCCTCTCACCTGTTGGATTTTTAAACAGGCCAAACTATTAACAACATGATCTCACTTATTGTTTTTGAAAATAAAATCCTATTGGCCTCTGTTCAGAAACTAAGAAGCTGGTGAAAAGCATATACCATTAATACTTGTTTGTAAGGCTCATGAACTAAGGGAAGCAGTACATCCTGTAAAATGGTACATAATCAACATTTCTGCAGCTGCCAGAGTAGTTGTATTCCAGTGAGGTACTTTCAATGTCAGAAACTTGTCACTGGAAATAAAAATATAGTAGAGGGATATACTCTAGGATGTTGATCCTTTCAACATGTCCTTTTGCTTTTAAGGTAAAGTAGGTTGTGATTATTATACTTGTTATACTGGCTTTTTTTTTTTTTTTTTTGGCTCAGCAACATGGAAGTCAGGCAGCTACCACCCAGATGTTTCTTTTCCACTGTCAGATTTCCTCAGCAAGGGACATCTCTTGCAAGAAACCTGTTCCAGAATTAATGTTTCAGGTCTCTTCAGCTAACCACCACAAGAACATTAAGAACAGTTTTTGTTTTTAAATACAAGTTGATTTATTTAAACCAATTGGGAACAGAGGATTAGTTAATATATACATCTTTTCCTAGAATTTAAAAAAATTGGTATGATTTATACTATGTACTTTGTGTTAATAGTACTTTAATTGTAGTAAAATATTTTGGCATTTTAACCATTTTAAAGTGTGCCAATTTGTATTCACAATATTGTGCAACCATCACCTCTCTAGTTTCAAAATACTTGTATTACTCCCAAAGGAACCCCCATATCCATTAAGCAGTCGCTCCCTATTCTTCCCATCTCCCCAGCCCCTGGTAATCTGTTTTGTCTCTATGGATTTGCCTATTCTGGATATTTCATGTAAGTGGAATCATATAGTATGCAGCCTTTTATGTCTGGCTTTTTTCACTTACCATGTTTTCAAGGTTCATTCATGTTGTAGCATGTATCAGTACCCCATTCATTTTTATGGTTGAACAACATTCCACTACATGGATATGTATTTTGCTTATCCACTGATCAGTTGATGGACAACTGGTTGTTTCTACCTTTTAGCTATTGTGAATAGTGCCTATGAACATTTGAATGCAAGTTTTTGTTTGAACACTTGTTTTTAAATCTTTTGGGTATATACCAAGGAGTGGAATTGCTGGGTCATATAATAGAGTACTTTTAATTTACATTGCTGAATTCAAATACTGGGTAGTACTGTTCAAAAAACAGTGAAGGCTCCAGGAATGTTATAGACTAGATTACCCAACCAAAGGTAGTAGCTCTACCTCTAGCTTTTTGTGGCCTCATTTCACTGTATAGACTATAGGAAGGATACATTTAAGTTAGTGATTATTGAATCCCATCACTCTCTGAGAAACCCTGGTAACTGATGACTCAATTGAAATCAAATTAGGCAGAGGGCATTAAAGGAGTAATATGTAGGTTTCATAACTGTCATCCTAACCTTCATGGAAACCTTGAAATTGAGACAAATGATATAATGGTACAATGTATTTGCTAGGGGAAAAACTTAAGTCTTTCTGTAGTACCACCACCTTGTTTCTTTTAATAGGAAAAATTTCACCAAGAAGTAACATGCACTATTATAAACAAAATACTGTTGAACCAACTATTATTTCCAAGACTCCAACATGTCAGTATCAATGATAAGCAATGCTTTAGCAACTTTTGGCTTTAAAAATGTAGCCTATTCAGTTACTTTTTGATATTTGGTTTTTAATGAGACCCTTGTTTAAGCAAGAAACTAGCTGCTAGATTGTTTCTTCTTAGAAGACAGTTTAAGAGTCATTATAGACACACAATTGCTTAGAAATTAGTGAAAAGTGAAAATTGCTTCCCACCCCCATTTAACAAGGCTTCAATTCCTAAAAAGCTGACATGATTTTGAGATACAGCTGTGTAATTAAGACCAGCCAAATTACTCTTGGAAGGTGACCCTGCTCCTAAGTATTGAATTCATGTTAGCCCTTAAAAACTCCAAACCACCTTGAGCAATTAACTACCTTGGTTTAATTAATCATATTTCATAGAAGCTCAAAGCACTAAAATATTTCTTTTTTAATGAATAAAACCCTATAATTTACAATGTGCAGAACACTATATCAAAGAATTCCTGTAAAAATCACATTAAGATCTCTTCATCAGTGAGACAACTACTATAGTTTCTTCTGACTTACATAGCATCTGCCTGAACGCATGTCCTTTGTGATGATCTAAATTTAGGTAAGTACAAATCACAGCAAAAATTAAAGTTTTCATCTTTAATGAAATGACTTTGGAAATAATATCTATTTCCATGACACCAATACTACAGTGTTCGGAGTCACAGTAAGGTACACAGAATTACATCCGTAATTAATATGAATGCCAACATTTCAGGCAGTAATTTCTGTTACATGGCAAATAAAATCAAGAAAGCAACCATCAAACAAAAGAGACCCATAGCTTCAGACAAGGCAAATCCCAGGATAGCATATGAGAACAGCTGCTGCTTCAGCGAAGGGTTTCTAAAAGAGACACAACACATTTAATTGTTACTTTGAAATATTATTTGGACTTCAATGTTTGGTAAATGATTACTAGTGTGGGGAATCTTTGTAAACTGGAAAGTATGGGGAAAGTATCTGCCTAGATGTCTTTTGATTTGCTTTTGACATTCCTTTCTCCTCAATCCTAATCATATGAGGAAAAGGGGGAGAGCTGACTCTATATGTCAATATAAATGGTTAGTCTTCATCCATTTTGGGGGGTTCTGACATTATTCTTATGCCTTTGAAAGTATGTTCTATAACTTTTAAGATCTGATAGTTTAGAAATAAGGTCTTAAATAATAAAATGGAAATTGACTTTTAAAGAATGTACTGTTAATTATATTCCCAATATAGCTTAACAATTATGAGTGCAGACTGTGAAGTCAAACTGAGTTAAAATTTATTTCCTGACACTTACTATTACTTTGAGACCCGTGTCTCTAGTCCTTTATAGGTGAACTGGAGTGTATCTCCAACAGGTGTTGTGGGGAGTTAAGTGAGATAATGTGTGCAAAGCCCTCAAAATATAATGCAAGACACAGAGTAGGTACTTAATACAAAGTAGCTATTATTATTATTTCACTGGTTTTCTAAGTTTCCAGCTATTTCAAGCATGATCTTATTTGGCCATGAAATTACCTGGCATAACCAATGATAAGGCTGCCAAAGACTGTTCCAATACCAGCACCAGAACCAGCCACTCCTACTGTTGCAGCGCCTGCACCAATAAACTTGGCAGCAGTATCAATGTCTCTGCTGATTGCACTGGTTTGAAACTCCCTTTGGATTAGCTGAGGCACACCATTCTGGGCCCCATTAAATACTGTAGAGCCCTAGAGAACAGGAAATAAGGGCAAAGGTCAAATCAGTAATCAGAATTAGCTGTTTTAATTACCATACTGTCAAAATGGTAACTAGCTCTCTATTTTGTAGCCAAGTTTGAATAGAAGGTGGTATGGCACAATAAAGAAAACCAAGAGCTTAAAATAATTCCAATCTTGTACAATAGAAATAACAATATCTACACCCTATAAAGTTAAAAATATATTTGCATATGCTTTTTAATAGAGTAGGCTTTTCAATAACGGCAGTTATTACATAAAATCTTAAATACAAGCAACTCAAGTCTATATACTTAAATATAGATACTAATTGTATTTCTTAGTGAAATCAGGTAGATAAGTTTTGAATACAGAAGTTTATTTTTTTGGCTTATTTTCTGCACATTCATTAATGACACCCCCCCCCCTTCACTTTAATCAAAACCGTAAGATTTACTTAGAAGTGTCACTTAATTTCTATTATTACTACTATTACCTCTCCAGTCCTGGCCTCTGGTCGAGATAACACTGATGCAGAAATTGGTCTGTACACAACTCTGGATCCAGCTCGGATCTATTAATGAAAGAACATTCCTCATAATAAGATAAGGCTTAAGTGACCCTTCTTGCATCATGAGTTCTAAGAAAGCAAGCAGCAAAAATGAGTCAAAGTTCATGACTTTTCTGTATTGACGTTTATGTTGGCTGTTTGGTCATTCTTAATACATGAAGCAATTTTAATAGTTTTAAAGTTGCTAATGAAATTTTAAAGTTTGCCTCATAAGCTATTTGTAAAATACTGAACAGAACTTCTTAGTTTAAAAAATATGTACTGCTTTAAAATTTTTAATTACTGTAGTGCCATAATTCACATTAGAAAAACAGCAATAAATACCATATATTCACTCTTTGGTAAGTTTAAGTGGACCAACAAGTGAGTATATTAGGAGTGTCACCATAAAAGCTTCTTAAACTAGCCCATTAGTTAATAGGAGCTCCCACCATTTCCAAGATATTCCAATATATCTGTTAATCATAAAATTAAAATGCAGTTTAAGCAATTCTATATCAGAGTAAGAATAATTGGTGAAATACTCTGACCATAAGGACATATTCCAGTCCAGCTGCTCCACCTGTCCTTGAGTGTCCACTAAACTAAGGTCACAGAAAATCCCTCAGAACCAAGATCTAATTCTCTAAAACAAATCCCCCGTATCTTCACTTCACCTAAAGCCTCCAAAATGGTTGTGGAAATAACATTCTAGAGGGAGGAAGGAAGCCTTTCAGCTGTTCCGCCACCTTCTTCCACCCACATAGGGCGAGGCAAAGTCCCTCCCTCTGCAGCAGCAAGTTTGACCTACACAGGCAATGGAGAGTGGTACTGCAGTGAACTAGGCCTCGGCGGCCCCCTACTATCCTCACAGCACCCCAAACTTAGCGGCGACCCCAACCCACCAGCGTGACCGAGAGAGTGGGGGAGGGGGCCGCTTGGGGCTTGGAGGCAAGGAGGGCTTGACCTACACCGCTTGAGGCCTGACAGCTAGGCCTCAGCTGCTCTCCATCGCCCTGGTGGAGGGGAAGAGCAGAGTGAGGTACGCCAGGAGGAGGAGGAAAGAAAAAACAGGACACAGGCTTAGAGGGTAAGGGGAGAGCTGTCCCGAGAGGGCGGTGCACGCCGCTGCGAGGTGGCCCATTCAACAACGTGGACGCTCCTGGCCAACAGGTCGGGCCCTGATTCCCGGCCCGGCTGGGCTACGCACCAGAGCGGGGTTGCAGGCGAGCTTGGCGCAGGCGAACATCTTACACTCCTGGGGCGGTGCGGCTGGAGGACCTGGGTGGCAGGCGATGTGGGCTCCTCTCCCGCTTTCTGTAGAGGAAAAGAGGCTTAAGGTCAAGTGCCCCCCGAAGGCCTGTCCTCCCCGCCAGGTCCCGCGGGCTCCTGTGCACGCAGTCAGCTTGGGCCCTGCGCCCAGTGAGGCGCCAGTAGAATGAATGGGTCCCCGTGGGCGCTGCTCCGCCCGGGCCAGGCCCTGCTCCGGCGCCCTCGGCTTACCTTCCCGGGAGGTGGCGGCGGCGGCAGCGGCGGCAGAGGTCGAAGGAGTGGGGCTGGGCGCGCAGGCGCGGTCCGGCTCTTATCCGAGCCAAGGCACCCGGATGGAGAAGGCGGGGAATCGGGTGCAGCAAAGAAGACGCTCAAGGTCACTTTGTAACAACTTTATTGGTAACCACTTGGAAGGACACTGACAGCCATCGGATGATGGGCTAGTGGAAAGGGGGTGGTAATGGACAGACAAAAAGAGGTTGGATACTAGCCCTGGCAGAGAGAAATGAACAAGTTTTCATCTGAGCCGCAGGAAAAAAGTGCTACTTTTCTTTCACTTGACACCTTGTGAAATTTGACCTTTTATCAGTTGCTCTTTAGTAGAGGGGTCCCCTTCCTGGTCATTCTTTGTAAAATAGGAGTGTGTGTGTGTGTGTGTGTGTGTGTGTGTGTGTGTGTGTGTGTGTGTGTGAAAAATGGGTTCATTCACTACTTGACAGAACAAATTAGGGTCTCCAGCAAAATGAATACATTTCTTCCTTTCTTTTTGAATCCTCACTCGAGGACATTTTTGCATTTATCTTCAGATAGAGCTGGAGGGAGAGAGAACATGGATGTGAGAGAGACACATGGAGTGGCTGCCATCCACACACCACACAACCCCAACCTGGGCCAAGGACAAACTGCAACCAGCGAGGTACGTGCCCTTAGCGGGAACTGAGCCCAGGACTCCGTGGTCCGAGGCCAATGCTCTAACCGCTGAGCCAAACCAGCCAGGGCAAATGAATACATATCTTTAAAGGAATCTGGAAAAGGATTCCAGAGGTATGGTTAATCCTTTGGATGAAAGAGGACCTGACTTAGAAGTACTGGGACAAAAGAATGAGTAAATGGCCCTGGCCAGTTTGGCTCAGCAGTTAGAGCTCGGCCTGCGGACCAATGAGTCCTCCGGGTTTGATTCAGACCAAGGGCAGGAACCCTGGTTGGGGTCCAGTTTGAGGCAGCCACTGGATGTGTCCCTTTCACGTGGATGTTTCTCTCTTCCTCTCTCTCCCTCCCACTCTGTCTGAACAAAAATGGAAAAAGGTCCTCAGGTGAGGATTAAAAAAAAAAAAGAGCAAATGAATACATCTAAGAGTTTTGTGAATTTGGGCTCAAAGTTGGCTCTTGGTAAAGTGAGGTAAATTTTTCTTCCAGCTCTATGATTGGAAAAATTAAGGAATTGTAATGTATTTCATGTGGGGCCTGGGACTAAAGAAAGTCTGAATATTTTCAAAACCTACCCAACTTTAACACCAGTTTTTGCTAACTTTGGACAAATCGTTTTCTTCAGATGAGTACACAAATGTCTCAGAAAAAGGCTTTTCCTGAACTTCTACTTTACTGAGTCCACAGATTCAAATGTTAATCTCATCCAGAAACACCTTCACAAACACACCCAGAAATCATGTTTAATCTAGGCGCCCCCATGGCCAGCCAAGTTGATACATAAAATTAACATCATATGTTTTACACTTCTAATATATCCTCTTAAGGGAAACATTATTCTAAATAGTTTTGTGTATGAAGATGGATTAAGGGAAGTTCCTATTTGTTCAGTCATAAATCAGTAGTAGTAACTGTTGAAGAGGAGGAGGAGGCTTGAGACAAGCCAGAATTCCTAACAGGATCACTCCCAGGGCACATGTGGACGGAGGCCTGTGGCATAAGGATGTGAAGTCTAAGTTCAGGCTCTGCACTGTCAACATGTCAATAAGCAGATGAACTGGCCTAGAAGAGGAGATAATAATAGATCCACTGTGGGTTCTATACGTTAGAGCTTAAATATTTATGAAGAATATTAGGTTTTCAAAGAATAAATGTATCTTTGAGAATGGTGTGTGTGTGTGTGTGTGTGTGTGTGTGTGTGTGTCACAGAGAGAAAGACAGAAAGTATCCAATAATTATTTGCTTTAAATAATGAGAAAGCATATCTACCTCACACAGGCTGGAGGCTCAGAAACTGGACTGAGGGTTCTAAAGTGCAGCCTAGAGAGTTGAGGTCTCTGACCATGGCCCTGTCTCCAAGGTGCTTTCTAGATCAACTTACTCAGACTTTCCTGGGTTTTGCATGCTACCATTACACTGATAGAAGGAGTGGAGTAGATCTTGAGTGACATCAGCCCTTGTTGATAGAGTGTGTATTTGCACTGAGGAAGTTTGAAGAAAAAGGGCACCTTCTGAAGGGAGTACAGTGAGACCATACAGATGAATAGAGAACTTTCTGTGAAGTATTTAATCCTCTCTGTATTTTTTTCTTAGACTGTGAAGCTATGTTAAATTATGAGACATCATAATTTGGTAGTATCTGATAAGCCTGGCTGATGATGGCATGGGGAAGAAAGGAATGGAGAGGTGAAGAGAAGTATGAAAAACCATTTCCAATAGAGCTACAACAATTTCTCCTATCCTGTAAGCCCCTTAGCAGTCAATCATCAAGCAGTGGAGTCTGTTTCCCTTCTTAAATCTAGGCTGACCCTTTGACTTGCTTTGACCAAGAGGATGTATTGGAGGTGGCAATTTGTAACTTCTAGACTAGGCCTTAAGAGGTCCCATAGCTTTCATTTTCTCTTTCCTGGAAGCCAGCCACCATATCAAGAAACATGGGTTAGACTACTAAATGCTAAGAAACCACATAGATAGAAAAAAGTCTCATGAGAGAGAACTAAGGTGCCCTAGGCATATGAGTGAGGCCCTCTTCGGTTCTCTAGCTTTAGTGAGGCCTTCCCAGTCAACACAACATGGAGCAGAAAGTGAGCTTTGCACAAATACCTGACCCACAGCCTTACCCAAATTCCTGAGCTGCAGAGTCAATAGCAACAAAAGGGTTGCTGTTTGAAGCTATTGCATTTTATGGTAGTTTGATACACAGCAACAGAAAACTGAAACAGGAGATATTGTCCACCAAATATTCACTACTCCTTTGAGATCTGTTTGGAGGCAGCAGCATAGCAGTTTCTTAATAGGGGAATTTCAGTTCAGAATTCCAGGTATAACTCATGGCAAACCACACAGAGAAGCACATGTGATTGACTCACCTTTCCTTGAAGTATGGGCACAGAGTAAGGCTGATATTGTTAAAACTCATGTAAGGCAATTCTAACCCAAACATATGGAAAGATGTTTAAATGATCTATTTTTGAAAGTTTTCATTTTAATAGCCTGTAATGTTTTCACCAGTCTTGTCATGCTAGTGTGATAAAAAAATACTATTTGTGGAATTGAAAATCAGAAATGTCAGTCAAAATATTCTGAGCTCTGTTATAATGTTTTATTTTTCTTATGAAAGTTTTGTTTTTTTATTAAATATAAAAAATACTATTTGTGGAAATGAAAATTAGAAGTGTAAGTTAAAAATACTCTGGATTCTGTTATACTATTTTGCTTTTCTTATCAAAGGTTTTCTATCTTATTATTGGCCTTCATTTGTTATCAATTTATCTTTTTTAAAAATAAGGCTTGCCTGGGGCTCTGGATGGACCTGGGCGACCCAGCGGCCCACAAGAGCGGTGCGGAGCCGGGACTCAAGAGGGGCCAGTCTCAGCGAGCCCCATACCTCTCGTTAAGTGGCCCCAGGCCACTAGAAGCAGCTAGCCTTGGTTCACAACTTGGCTCTTCCTGGACACCTCCAAGCCCAGCGCAAGAAGCAGCCATCTGCAGTTCACTTTGTAGCTTATGCCGGGTGGCCTTGGATAGAACACAGGCAGTGGCTGACCTTGCCCCAGAGCCAGCTCACCTGGTAGACAGCTTCAGAGCATATCAGAACACCACCACCCAGTCACCTCCACAAGTGACACACTCAATAAGTGGACTTAGTGGGTACCAGAGCCCTGCTGAAGTAAGTCTTGCTCTGTATAGTGGGCCCCTACACAGCTCATCCTCCAAGGTAGTTAGAGGCCAGTGGTCAGTGGGCACAGCTAGTCCCTGCAGTTGATCAGCCTGAGTAAACCCCTCCCATTGACATACCAACAGCAATCAAGACTCAATTACAAGAGAAGGGTGAACAGTCCACCCTAGGGGTGCACCGCCAGGGCCCAGCTGGGGTGATAACGGAGACTGTGCCACTGGATCCTACAGGACACCTACAACAGTAGGCCACCCTACAAAGCCTAGGAGACATAGCAACTCTACCGAATACATAGAAACAATCACAGGGAAGCAGCCAAAATGAGGAGACAAAGAAACATGTCCCAAATGAAAGAAAAAAAACAAAACTACAGGAAAAGAACGAAACAAAATGGAGATAAGCAATATAACAGATGCAGAGTTCAGAACACAGGTTATAAGTTGCTCAGAGAACTTGGTGAGACATCCAAGAGACTTAGTGAGACCTTCAAGGAATTTAAGGAGACCTCCAAGGAACTTAGTGAGAACATCAACATAAAAAAGGGCCAGTCAGAAGTGAAGGATGCACTAACTGAAATAAAGAATAAGTTACAGGGAATCAATAGTAGAGTAGGTAAGGCCAAGAAGCAAACCATCGATTTGGAATATAAGGAAGCAGAAAACACCCAATCAGAATAGCAAAAAGAAAAAAGAATCCAAAATTATGAGTATAGAGTAAGGAGCCTCTGTGACAACTTCAAGTGTGCCAACATTCGCATCATCGGGGTGCCTGAAGGAGAAGAAAGAGAGCAAGAAATTGAAAAACTATTTAAAATAATAATGACAGAAAACTTCCCTAAGTTGGTGAAGAAAACAGACATACAAGTCCAGGAAGCACAGAGAGTCCCAAACAAGATAAAATCAAAAAGGCCCACACCAAGACACATCATCATCAAAATGCCAAAGGTTAAATACAAAGAGAGAATCTTAAAAGCAGCGAGAGAAAAACAGTCCATTATCTACAAAGGAGCTCCCATAAGATGGTCAACTGATTTCTCAGAAGAAACTTTGCAGGCCAGAAAGGAGTGGCAAGAGATATTCAAGGTGATGAAAAGTAATGACCTACAAGCAAGAATATTCTATCCTGCAAAGCTGTCATTTAGAATCAATGGACATATCAAGAGTTTCCCAGACAAGAAAAAGCTAAAGGAATTCATCACCACCAAC